GCTGTTTACGAGCGCTCAGCGAAGGACGTCACTTGTCGCCGTCGGTGTAAGATCGAAGATCGTAGAAAATTGAAGTGGACGTCACTTGTCCAACGAAGGGCCCTTTTTCTATGGACTTGAGCGGCAAACAAAACTGAGTTTTCAATTCTTTTCCGTCGGAATTTGAAATGTTAGATGAGTTTCGAGAAAATTATGGAAAGAGTTATACGTGAAACCGCGTGTCAGCAATCGAGTGCCGCGAGAGTTTCGTGAGTGTCGGGTTTAAAAAGAGTTAAAAGAGTAGGTGAGTCGCGAGGAAAGACTCGGCCTCTCTATTCTGGAGGGTTGAATATGTCCGTTCGATTGTCTTCGTGTCGGCTAAAAATAACGTCAACGTATTTAAGTAATTATAGCAAGGACGACTTTTAGAGACACGACACAACCCGGTGATGCCGGAGGCGGCAGCGTCGGCGACGACTTGGGAGGCTGCGGGGGAGAGAGAGATCCAAGCTAGGGTTAGGGTTTGCTGTGGTGGGCATTCTTGAAGATGATAATTAACGCCGCCGCTTCGACAGCGCCCGGATTCCTGAGGAAGATGTTGGTTCGTTGGCTTGTCATCCTTGTTCTACCACCCAGTCTCGCGGTCGCATTCTGCATCGCAACCAGCATCTTTTCCATGCCATACGATGCACCGATGGGAATCTCCATCATTGGCATCGATAAGAACCAGAAGAAAGCGATGAAACAGATGCATCTGTACGAAACTGTGAGGTTTTTGCCTGCATTCGTTCAGCCGGCCGGCGTGTGTATGGAACTGTAAGGTCCGGCATCTCTATCGAAGAAGGGTTTCGGCACGGCCGATACCGACAGCCATCGTTCAGAGTTTGAGGAAAGCACGCAATGCAAGTGCGCATGGCTTGCTCCATTCATGACATGAACTGCTCGTGGCTCCTTCAGTTCGTGCCTGCCCCATTGTACTGGACCACCGTGTGAAGGAGACGAGACAGAGATCGGATTCGATGGTGGGTTTCCATGCCTTTGAATGCTGCGTGTGGTGAGATTTAATGCTGCACTTTCAATGAAATTGCCTCGCTTTTGCTAGCCGGTTCGACGGGATACGACGGCGTCATCAAGGTTCCGTGAAAATTAATCGGAGATTTCAAAAAAATATTTTCCAAACTTTAATCGTTCTTATTGACTAGAAAATATGAGTCGACGTAACGTGATTTTATCGGGCCCCTCTAAGCTTGGAGTTCTCGGTTAGACATTGGATTAAATATAGTATTTTTCGATTCGTGCGCGATTATACCTATATACGCAACTAATAGCTTAAGTATCACGAAGATGGGGATGACGACGGAGTGTAGTTACTGCCGCAATATGTGGAGAATAGTTTTCTCGAAAATCATGATAATTGCCAAAAGATATTTTACATATTAGAACTTTTGAAGTTCGATTGCTTTTAGCCTTACCCCATTTATGTAATGGCATTCATGAAATTAAAAGAAGGAGACGCTCATATTTTCCCTAAACAATATAGACAGATAAATAGATAAACAGACAGATATAGAATTATGAGGATCAATATTCATATTGAACTATCATTATAACATTTATTTAGAGTGCCTTTTCAATGCATTATTGGATTTTTTTTTGGTATTATTGTGTGTGAGAATCATTTCATGGCCAATGAAACATATTTTATCCTTCTCTATTCTCTCTCTATCGCTCCTATTTTTTTTTAATGAACTCTGTCAATAAAAAAGCTACTAATATACTTACCAAAACAAAAAAAGCTACTAATATATTCTTTAAACATAATTATTGTTCGGTTTTAGAAAACTAATTATCTTTTGCACTTAAACTAGATTAAAAAATAAAAAAAACAAAAAAAAACTAGATTAAAAAAAAACAATTTGTTGGTAGAGTTAAAAACGTCAAAAGCAATCGCGTGCGTGGGGACTAATCTATATTTTAATAAAGAAGGGGTTTCTACATTTTAATGATATCATTCATTCGTTCCTCCTAGATGACCCATTAAAGTTTTTGAATCTATCTGTATTATTAAGTCAAAAGTGAGATTTGTTCACTTATAAAGTCTCCTCTAATTACCTTTACATAAAATAATAGGAAGTCAAAAGGTAAGGGTCTAATCATAATTAGACACTTTATTAAAGCAGCTCAATCTTTCACTTTTGAAAGAGAATTGCCAGTTCGATTTATAGGAAAACCTATTTTGTCAAGACTAAACTTACAATAAATGCAAATTGAAAAATTTGTCCAAAAAATTATAAACTTATTGCACATGGGCCAATTTAATCCAAAACCTTTTAATTGTGCAAATTTAGTTTCAAACCTTTTGACAATTCGCCAATTTAGTCATTAACTTTGCAATTGTGCCATTTTAATCTTAAATCGTTTGATAATTTACTAATTTAGTCCTAAACCTTTTAATGATTTTTCCAATGTAGTCCTTTCGGTCAAATATCCAAATAATAAGTTTAAAACTAAATTGGCAAATTTTTAAAAGGTTTATGACTAAATTGACACAAAGAGAGGTCGCACTCACCCAAAGCACTAACAACAAATTTAAAACCAAACCAATCCAAAACGCTAAGCAAGATACTAAAACGAGTTTGCAAGAAGATGCAATTCGATCTTTTCAATGCGGGGTTTCGCTCGGAGGTACATTAATGGTATCCGTAAAGATAGAAGTACATAAGTGATCATTGGGTGTTGGGTGAAGGTTGAGGCATACTTTTGGCATTTTTCCCCCGACTTCCATTAAGCAACACTAATTTTCATGCACACGCCACGCATGTGCACAATTACTTCCGAGATAATATTATAGATTCCTAAATGTTTCCTGGAGAATCTCGTACGGGCTTTACCTTTGCCAAAAGTCCGAAATATAGTCCTAAAACCGTCAAGACTTCCTGGAGCTCTAACTCTACCTAAATGCTCAGTGCTCGTTTCTTAAATCAAATTGGAGCATGACTAGCTTCCGTCTTCTACTGGAGTGGTCGATCGCCAGCGGAAAGAAAGGCAGGCACCGAGTCATCACCGCGCCCCTCTGTAAAATCCCGTTTAACCTAATATCTCAAATGACATCATAGATTTTTCTTAGTCAAAATATATTTAGCGTTATTCTTATTGAATATATTGGCGACCATAATAAAGTCTAAAGTTTAGTTTACCAAAGAAAGCAGACAATCGAAAATGCAAGTTAAGCTCTTCGCTGGTTTACTTTTGGCCGCCTTGAGTTTTCATCGTTGGAAAGGACGTTGTGGGGGGCCCACGTCTCGTTGGCACTCGCAAGAGGTGGGGCCCCACTTGGATTTTTCTTCTTTCTATTTTCCCTTAGTGGGGTCCGGTCAATATCAACGAGACCCCCCAAACAGAAACGCCAACCAGAAGAATAATCACCGCTCCTATTAATTTCTTTTCTTTTTTTTTTTTTTTTTGGGGGTGTCGGAGAATATTCATCATTCACCTTTCCGGCCAAAAAAAACAAAAAAAAAAACGAATTAATTTTATATTTAAATAAATAAACAAAAGCCACGTCGATATTAAAGTAAGTGGCGCGAAAACAACGCCCTCCCTTTTCTTCTCAATTGGAACCGTTCTCTCTCTCTCTCTCTCTCTCTCTCTCTATCTCTATCTCGCCGCGCGAAGAAGAAGAAGAACGAGCCCCTGCTCTCTCGCCGGATCCTCGCCGTCCGGCCACCCGCGCCGACGACTCGGTTTTGGTCTCATCTTCGCCGACGGAATTGGAGCGATCGGATTCGCCGGAACCTCGAGCGCCGCCGACCGTCCCGCCGCTTTTCCGCAGATTGTTCGGTGGATTCCCGGAGTTCCGAGGCCTTTTCTTGTCGCCTTACAGTAACCGCACCGGAGATCGGGATCTCGCGCTCCGTCGACCGAGGTCAGCGTTTTTTCCCGCGTGCGGATTCCGGTTTCTTTTTTCGACGGCCGCTCTCGCGGAACGGCAAAATCGAGGAGCGCCGTCGGTTTGATCGTTCGATCATGCGGAAGGACTTGCGACGCTTGTCCGATCGGGATTTGCCTTGATCAATCGGGGAGTTTGGCTTCCGGATTCGTTTCTGATGATATCCAACTAGGGATTCGACATCGAAAATTGCTTGATTTCGATCGAATCGACGATAGGAATACGTCGGATCTCACTTTGGTTGCTAATTTTAGGAACTCGGACTTCCAACGATCTCCCCCTCTCTTTCTTCTCTGTCCGCGCGATGCCTGAGAGTTTACTGTCGAGACGCGCGGAGGCGATTCCGGCTGCGTTTGATCGCAGTCCGATGTCCTCGATGCCGTCAGAAGCGGGAATCCGTCCGGACGCGGGCGATTTCCGGTCTGTCTTTCGCTTTGGATTCTTGACCGAGCCAAAGTTTTGATTAGTTCCAATACAACTTGGGTTTGGTCTGATCTTCGTACCGACAGCCATAATCTCCTCACAGGTCCGTCGGTTCCCGTTCCTCAATTTTGGAACTACTCGCCCGTTTTTTTTAATGGCGTCGAAGCAGAGACCCCCGTTTTTCTCCCTTTTTTATATTGGGGCTCTGCACATTATTGTGTTGTTCCTTCCCCCGGTCGTTTTTTTTTTCTGGTGAATTGTTTTGGCTTGAGGTTTCCAATTTGGTTTTTCCTCTGGTTTTTTTTCTCCTGCGCGAGATGAAGGCTCTGAATTTCATTGGGGGATGGGACAATGATCTCTCCGGCACGTGGGCGGCCATGTCTCTTCCGATAACCCACGAGAGAACATTAGCACCTGCAACAACTCCAATCTCCATTTCTTAATCAAGAGGGTCAATAGAATAATTCGCGGATACGGACAAAACTCAAGCTCGTCATTTAGCATGCGCAACCCTCTTTCTAACATATCGTAGTTAAGGAAGGAAAAGACTTGTTACCGAGACACTTCTAATCTTGTTCCTTTCTTTCTTTTTCTTTCTTTCTTTCTTTTGGTTTTTGGGAAGAGGGTGGGCGTGGGGGTTGGGGGTGGTGGGGGTGGAGACCTGGCTGAATTCACTTTCAGCGTTGTTTCCATTGAAAGGGAGTTTAAAGAGAAAGGAGATGAGGAATTGAGAATAAGCCAGGCTTTTCGTGCGGTGTTGTTGTTGTTGTTGAGAGAAACCCCATTTACAGCCCAGCAGACCATGGGACTCCCGTGAGAGGGACAGCAGTGTACGGCGTTCCCCTCATCCTGCGCACCCCCGCTTCCTTATCCTGCGCACCCGCCCACCCTCCTCCCGACATCTTCACCTTGCTCTCTCTTCCCCTCCCCCTCCCCCGTCGGCATCTTGGGAATTGCTCCCGGCGCAGGTTGTTGATGCGCTTTCAAGAATTGTCCCACCCCCCTCCCTCCATAATTGCGACTTTGGTGACTTTTCCCCGTTTGCTGAAGTCTCTTCCCGTCGGTGATCTGCTTAAACTGGGGGTACTGGTGACCAAGGATCCAGTACCCAATTCCACTGATCTCAGCCAATTGATAGTGAATCGGAAGACGGTCTCTGTTTTCAGATTTTGTTCCTGGTTTTTATTCTTTTCTTGGCCGTTTCCCCGCTGTGGTTCCTTACTTTGTCGTTGTGCTTTTCTGCCAGACTGGTTGCAGAGGAAAAGGATCTTCTTTTTTGAGCGATTGATGGTATGATTCTGGTGCATGTGGGATGCAAGACTGCTTGGCCTGTCAAATATGGATTAGTATATGGGTGAATTCGTCAATGTGGGTTTGTTCAGACGGAGCGAATGGATCTATGTGAATCCCGCCCAGCAATACAGAAGCACACAACCGTGGAGACCCCAAGACCACCCCTGGTTCCTGCAGAAAGGAACAATGCGGCTGCCGCCGCCGCCGTACGCCGCCCCCGAGCAAGGGAAGTTAGCTCAAGGTTCAAGTCGCCCACTACGTCGACCCCTTCGGTTAGGCGATGCCCATCTCCAAGCCTCACGAGGACAGCAAGCACGCCCTCTCAATTGGCGCCAAAGAGAGCCCAGTCAGCCGAGAGGAACCGCCCATCGACGCCAGCCTCGCCCTCACGTCCATCCACGCCCTCACGTCCATCCACGCCCTCACGTTCATCGGCACCTTCACGTCCGTCCACACCTGTACATGATTCATCTGTAGATACGCAATTGGCACCTAGAAAAGTTAGCTCTGGTAGATTAGCAGAAGGTCTGTGGCCTTCCACAATGCGAAGTTTGAGTGTTTCTTTCCAGTCCGATTCTATTTCCATTCCTGTTGCCAAGAAGGAGAAATCTGTAAGTAGCACCCCATCGGACCGCACCTTGAGACCCACTTCAAATGGAGTACACAAGCAATCTGAGACGCCAACTGTGGTCCGAAAGCCTACGCCAGAGAGAAAAAGAAGCCCGCTCAAAGGAAAGAATTTATCTGATCAGTCGGAGAATTCTAAGCCGGTTGACGGTATAAATGCTCGTCTGATTGATCAACTTAGATGGCCTAGTAGAGCAGGTGGGAAAGTGTCTTTGAATGCCTTAAATAGTAGCTCGGATCTTCCTGAAAAGATCACTAGAGGGTCTGCATCAAAATCAGGATTTGGGTTATCAACAATCAGGAGAATGCCTTCTTCTGATGGGTCGATGAAACCTCCGCAAAGATCTACCAGTGATGCTGAAAGACGACTGGCAACTGATGAATCCGACAGAGGAGAGTCTGATGGAAATTCATTTGAGGATGATTTGCTCGTTGGCCCGAAGAGGCTTCTTTTAACAAGTTTAGCTGACAGAATGACTTTATCAACTCCTGCAGTTAGATCTCAGTCTTTGCCTATTCCTGGATCTCGTCTACCATCACCGAGTAGGACATCTGTCACATCATTCCCTGTTTCTAGAGGTGCCAGTCCATCAAGGACAAGGCCATCAACGCCCCCTTCGAGAGGGATAAGTCCCTCTCGGATAAGACCGGCGAATGTTTCTACTCAATCCAGCAGCTCAACATCTGTTCTTAGTTTTATTGTCGATTTTCGTAAAGGGAAGAAGAGTGCTGGTTTTATAGAAGATGCTCATCAGCTCAGGCTGATGCACAACAGAAATCTGCAGTGGCGATTTGCTAATGCACGGGCAGAGGCAGTACTTCATGATCAGAAAGCATTAGCAGAGGTAGAACACTTTATTTTTTCAGATAGCTACCTTTCAAGAAGTTAGCCTCTCGATCAGCTCTAGACGAATTTTTGGCTTCACATTAAGGGAAAGCCTGTTAATAGCCCTGTCAAGCATGCATTAGCTTTCATCCCTGGCATGAGAGCGTTATCTGTAGAAATTACTGCCGCGCAGAATTATTACTCAAGACTGGCTTAGATCTGTTTGCTCTCCAATAGTCGTCATGACAGCCCAAGTGAGACGGTCACTCAGTTTTTGTTACTAATGATTAACTGTGTTGAACTTTGATACGTATGTTCCTTATGGGATTTATACTATTTCAATGTCTCTGTTCTTTCAAAGAGTACGGAAAAAGAATTGATGAAAAAGCTCTGGGAGTTTATTCACTCTAAAAGCTCAAAGTTTCACCATTCTATGAAATGCTTAGAATTGACTCTGGAAACTAAAGCTGCATTTGTATCGGCAGTTATGATGCTCTCAGGGGATGAAAAATTACTTTTAATAAAAAAGATATCTGTATTAGTAGATGATCTACTACTGCATTGAAGATGCTTCTGAGCATTAGTTTGTGTTCATGTAAGTGATTTTGGCTCATGCAAGCAATGGAAGTCAGAATTTGCAATGGAAGAGCTTCTCTTTTTATAGAAAGCTAATATTTACTTTTATCATAAGAAAACATTAACAGTGATATGACATGGTAGACTCAACTGTTAATGCTGAATTTTAGAGTTGGCTTTTAGAGGAAGAGGGTTTGTTTGATTACTTTTTCTTCCTGATTTCCTTTACAACTTTAAAGTGACTTTGTTTCTTTTCATATACCTGTCTAGCCTACTTCGTTTTGTATATATACTCAAGATTTTTTCTTGAGATTAGAAAAGAAAAATCTATGCGAGCTTTCTGTTCTGAGATGCATGGAAATGAGTGTTAAAATCAGATGAACAGGGAAATGTTTGAATTGGATATGCATATGTAATTGGTGTGCGCATGCTTGCATGCACTTGTGTGTGTGCATTTAGTGGCGACTTGTACCTGTACTATATCGTCTGTGAGTGGTATACTTTATGGTCATGTGAGTGCTCACTCCCTACTGTCTCTTGATTACTTTCACTGATTTCATAGAACTTGACTAAATTCTGCAGAAGACTTTATTCAACGTTTGGGTCGCTATGATTGAGCTCTGGGATTCAGTTATCATGAAGAGTATTATTCTTCAGCAGATGCGGCTAGAGCTCAAGCTGAACTCTATTCTGAATAAACAAGTAAGAACTCTCTGTTAAAGAAGCTTTCATGCTATGAACAGCATCGACTGAGTCCGTTATTTCACCCTTTACTAGCATTTAGATTTCATTTCTCATCTATTTCACGCATGTATGTTTTTTACTTGTTTATGGCTGAAATATGATAAGAGCACTTCTGATGTTTTCATGAAAAGATGCTCGTGGACTTTTTTGAAGAGAAGCTGCTATGGATTTTTTTTTTCTTTTTAGTTTATACTAAAAATAGTTCAGACTTAATGGTCTTAAAACGGATACCACAAAAGAAGTATTCGGTATGATTGTATCCTGATTTTGACGAGGTTTATGTCTGAGTTCTTCACTGTATTGAGAAATGTGGAAGCACTGACAGAAGCCAATGCTACTTGATCGATTTTCAAAATTCTGTTTGGTTTTAGATACCTAGCATCAAATTATAAGGAGGAGAAAACTTCTGATGCGTATACTTAGTTATCTGATAAATCTTGCTGTACTTTTTGTCCGATGAATTTTTATTTTAAATTTTATGCTTGGCAAAAGAAGCGTAAACACGGATCTATTTGAACTCCTCTTAAAACATATATTAAGCTTTTTGGTTCTAGCTTGTAAACTTCTGCACTTATAGAGGAAATTCTTATTTATGAACTCTTATAGATCAATGTCCAGGATGATACTCTTAAATGCTTGGCTTTTAATGGCTCTCCTCTATCTATAATGACCAATTCAGATGACCTACCTCGATGAATGGGCTTTGCTTGAGGAAGATCACATTAGCTCATTAGCTGGAGCTGTAGAAGATTTAGAGGCTAGCACTCTTCGTCTTCCTGTTACCGGAGGAGCAAGAGTATGTTGGTCTGCAAAAGATTATTTTGTTGGTTGGAAAGAATAATTGCTGATCTCCATAATATCTGATCATGGCAAATTTATATTCACAGGTAGATATAGAATCTTTGAAAGGTGCTCTTTGCTCTGCTGTTGATGTGATGCACGCTACAGGATCCTCTATGTATCCTCTTCTCTCAAAAGTAAGACCTAGTTATTATTTTTTTTTTTCATTTCTCATTTGTTGAGTGTCCTACAGTCTTCGAGATTTGGATTTGTTGGAAAGGTCTCTTTCCTCGAGAAATTCCATTCTGTGATATTTTAAAGAAAGCAAAGAAGTTTTTTACGTGTTTGCTTCAATGTAATTGGTTTAACTTATGGCACAATCAGATTGTACTACAGAGGAAGCATGACTTGAGGGAGGAAAATGGTTATTAGTTCAACACAAACCATTGGTCATTATGCAAAGTTTAGTAGTTCATGTCCTGTAGAAAAATCATATCTTTAGGGAGGGAAATTGCATTTTGTGGATACTTGCCCATTGTGCTGTCTTCCATACCCATATACCTTTGGTTTACAAAATTTCTATGATGTATATGTTTATTATAGCCCCTTTTCCAATATAATTGTTACTCAGATTGTTGTCTGAAGCTCATAGCTTCTTCATAAGTACTTGCAAACATGATTAAATAGTTTTGCAAGGCCTGACATCATTTCGCTCTTCTTGTCCCCGAATTTACAGGTTGAAGAAATGAATGAGTTGGTATCCGAACTAGCTCTTGCAGCAACTCGTGAAAGGGCAATGCTTGATCAATGTGAAACTTTATTGGCTTCAACAGCTGCTATGCAGGTGCGGGACATAAATATTATGCCGAATCTTCCTCTATGTTTGCATCAAGTCTGATATAGTCTGCTGCATAATGCTTACAGACTGAAAGTATATTTTCATACACATTTTACTGGTTTGAATGTGTTGTTGCGAGGTTGAGGACTAGCATACCACCTTTAATGCAGCCTCGGTTCATAGCTATGGTACAACGAGTATATTTTGGTTTAGGCATTTGTCCAGCCGCTAAACTTTAATATCTTCGGCTGGTCAATTTTCTAGTGAGATGCTGACGTGGCAGATACGTACGTGACTTTTTTTTTGTGGAATGCGTCACGTCATTGCCATGCGGTTGCCACCTTGCTGTTTTGTTGGAAAGCCTACTGAATTTCGGTGAAAGTGCATCAATTGTAAAAAGAGAAATTTGAAAGTTCGGCACCTCAGGGTATTGAAATCATGGGTAGAGTGGGTAGATCTGAAAGTCACTGAAGTTCACTGAAGCTAATGAAGTTTATCCCATGTCTCTGCTTAGAGCAAGTCTTAGCTCAACATAAGATGCAACCCATTTAGTTCGTGAAAGATCTCTTTGTAGCGGATAGGAGTTTGTATCGCCTTTGTGTAACATCAATCCGTAGCATGAGCTCTCTTACTCAGATGTTTCGGTTTCATCTTCTGTCAATTGACGAAGGTGGAGGAATGCAGCATCAGGACACATCTCTTGCAATTGAAGCAGACGCTGGAGAGAAGGAGCACCCTATTCCGGCCGTTGAGATTGCCTTCTTCACTGTCCTTCATATAACACGTTCCGCAGATCGACTCGGGTCTGTTCGGGAGTCGGAAGCTTGTATATTCATATCACGCCTTTTTCTTTTTTCTTCCTTAGATTCTATTTCTCTTTTTTTTTTGTTCCATTCATTTTTTCCACTTTCCTCTTCTGCCGTGGCGGCACCATCAGGCCCCACCTTCACAATGTAATTTTGATCAAAACGGTTTGAGTATAATTAGGAAAAGCAATGCAGAGAGAGAGCAAAGGGATTGGAAATGAATGAAGTCTAGAGCAAAATAGAGGAATGAGCGAGTGAAGATTTTGTGTAGATGTTTTGCTTGTAGTCTAGGAAGCACGTACACTCTCCAGGGGCTTCTGTGTCGTGTTCCCCCATGTCGTGTTGGACACCGACACTCGTCTGACACTCTTTTTTTTATTATTTATTTATTCATGGATTTGAATCAAATTAATTTGATTGAAATAATTATAAAAATGATCATTTATTATGTATATATAAAAATATTTATTAAATATACAACGTGACCCAACGTGTCGGATTTCTCTATATTTTGAGAAATAACGTGTCGGTGCTACTTAGCTTGTAGTTTGACAAGAAACAAGCAAGTTAGCGATTTGATGACAATAACAATCTATGATGTTTTCCTTAAGCCGCTCGGCGTCTGATTGTAATCGCGGGTCCCCAATTGCAACAGCTCTCTAGCAAGCTTATGTCCCAGGCCGGACACAACTGCTTCGGATCTCCACGAGTCGGCAGATGGTGCGAAGTCATGACATGAAAGAGTCACCATATAGGGTTTTTCCTCCAATAAGCGATCGTGATCTATGGGTTCAAGGTTCGATTTGCCTTTGACTTAGAGGTATGTTGGACCAAAATTTGAACCTGGTGATTTGGGAAATGCAACAATGTATCAAGTTCATTCCCAATCAATTCATACTTCTGCCAAAGAAACATGTCAAAGTGCATAGTAGAACTTCTGGGAGATAAAAATGAATCAAAGTGCCATGGACTACCGTATTCTTCTCGCTTTGACATACAAGAGCCTCCATTGGCAAGAGATTGCTTCACTACTGTGCTTTCAAAATGATACACTTCATTGACAAATTTTTCTTGAAAGTACATTTGTATTTAACTTAGCACCAGTCAAAACAGGCAAAGTGCTACTATTCACTAACTTGTTTTAATCCTAGTTAGCCGGTTCTCGAAATAGGCCGTTGTACACATTACTGTACACAAGTTACAAAAATTTCCCAATCTAAAGAAAGATCGACATTATGTAAAACAAAATGGCTCACGAGCCTTCTACCTCAGCGCTTGGCTCCTAGATGCTGGCTGAGACTTCATTGGCGGATGATTTATCTTGTTTCTTTGGTGGGTCTTGAACTTTCTGCAGAACAGCTTTATTTGGGACCAAAACAATGGACATGTTCCTCTCTCTAAAGTTCTTGCTCTCCTCGGTTGCAAGCTGTAGGTTCATGTCCAGGATTAGACAAAATGGAAACTCATAGCAAGGTAGAATATGCTAAATAAATGTTAAGCTTGTGACCCAGATAAATATCAATCTGAAGCAACAGACAAATCACTTTTTAAGAGATATTTTGCACATGGTCACCACTCAAAAGCCACGAGGTATTTAAAAAAAGATATGACAAACTTTGGAATATAACATCCGAACCTTTTGGCAAACACCTCTTATGCGAAAAGAGAAAAGAATTTGAGGATTAACCAAAAGAAAAGTAACAGACAGGGCACGAAGAAATTACAATTTCCCAACTATTTACCATATAAGACAAGAAATAATGAGTTATTTACATCCGCTTATCCAACCCAATAGTGAAGCCAGAGCTAGCTCAACAAAAATAAGAAATTAGTGGCACCTCCAGACGGTCCGAAAAATAAACTCTCTTTTCTTTACATGCTTCAGTTAAGAGGACATATTCATCTTTCATTAGCTCGTGGTGTTAGGATGTAACAATCCTCTAATTCACCCATATCGACATATTATAGACATGTCAGATTTATTTCGGATATTATTGAGGGCCACTAAGAGATTTATGAAATTTACGTGATTGTCAGCAACGGAGATTAAGTTTGGTATAGTCAACATCAAATTAGTATCATATGGACACACCAAAATACCCAGTGTTAATGTCAACTCACCCAGTTGTATAATTTAGTGAAAATTGCACAACGATGCTGTTAGTAAACTGGTTGGCTCTGTAAGCACCTTTTGAAAAATGACATCGCCATGACAAGTGTTCTGAATGCCATGTTTAAATTTGATTTTGCTTTAGTTCAGTATTTCTGATTTTACAAGTTAATTGATATATCGAAAAAATACAGGGGAGACTCTGTCCATTTATTATTATTAATAATAAAAGTAATAAAATGTATATGTTTTTGTTTCCGCGTACTTATAGGAAGCCCCCTCAGGATTCACACGTGGTGTTGTCCCGGGATTTGGGGCATTACACAGGAACTTTTCTTTTTGGGTAAGTGTAAGGAGTTTTTTTTTTTTTTACTTCCAAAATTACTGAACATATATACTCATGAAGTGCAGGAAATAGGAATACCTCTCCAACATCATTCTGGAAACGTCTGATTAGCTCAATGGCAATATTTCTGAAGTCATTTTCACGACCTTTTAAATTCACTATAACTTTAACCTGCAAGAAGTAAGGGTTTCACACATAAAGGTCCAATTATATTAGTATCCGAATAAGTAACGTGTCAACATCATAAAGAATGATCCAACCAACCTTATCACCATCTTTCAAAAACTTCCGTGCTGCCTTTAAACGCACAGAATAATCATGTTGATCAATGTTGTAACTGTCCACGAAATTGCCACACAATTAAAAGACAGATGAGTGTACTGAGGAGACAGACATGGCAGAATCTAAAAGAACACACACTGACTCTCAGTATACACACAAATACCACCCGCACTCTAGTTCATAATTTTTAAAACATTTTGAGCTGAAAAGAGTAAAACCAAATTTTTATGTATGTGGAGAGGATTAACCGAATCAGTTAATACCTCAGTTTGATTTGCATAGACTGGAGATTTTGAGTATGACCCATTTCTCACACTTGAAAGTAACATAAAATCATCAGTAGACTTCCTCTTAACGAACTTTTTAAACTGTACCATATAACCTGTAACATATACAGGAAGAGCAAGTCTGGCGACTAAGGGCCCGTTTGGCAACGTGCCAAACAGTGAAAATTTCTGTTCTTTTGTTCCCAGAAATAGTTTGGGAACAGAAATGCGTTTGGTAAACTTTTTGTTCCCGGGCACATTTTTGCAAAAATTTGTGCCGAGAAACAGTTTTGGAAGAGAAATAAGAAGTAAAAAAAGTTGCTTCTTGTTTCTCGGCACAATTTTGAGAACCAGTTTTTTTCTTCTTTTTTTTTCTTTTTCTTATTTTTGTGTTGTTCTTCCCCATTGGGCCGGGCCGCCGCGGCGACCGGCCACGCCCAGGGCCGGCGAGGGCGTCACGGCCCTCGCCGGCCGCCGGTGGAGCGAGGTCGCCCTCGCCCGGTTCGGGCGAGGCCGCCTCGCCCGGGCGGCGAGGGTCCACCCCTCGCCCTCGCCGCGAGGGCGACCCTCGCCTCCGCCGACGAGGGCCGTGACGCCCTCGCCGGCCCTGGGCTGTGGCCAGTCGCCGGTCACCGGCCCCCAGTCGCCGGCGACCGACCATGGCCAAAGAAGAAAATGGTAGAAAGAAAAAAAAAATTTAACAATTCAAAATATTATTAAAATATTATTTGGGAACAGAAATTGTGTGTAGTTACCAAACGCATTTCTGTTCTTTTCTACTCTAGGAATAGAAATTTTGGACAGTTTATTAAACACCTTCAAATACTCAGAAATTGTTTCTGGGCACAGAATAAAAAAAAATCATTTCTGTTCAGAAATAGTTTCCGGGCACAGAATGGTATTCATTCGTACCCTAATAATAACTAGAGATCAAAGGCCAAGATAAAGCAAAAAAAGAAAAGAGTATACAGTTGGGTTAAGTATCTTGAAATTCCAGAGTAAATCGTTACCCCATTTTCAGCTCCTTCATATCCATGCGACTAGCTGTAAACGCAAGGGTAATTTGATAAGTACACATTATCATTAATGAGATTCTGCACATGGATCACTCTAGAACTCCAAAAGTTAGGCTGAGAAGAGATTCACCAGCACTTTTCTTCTGTTGCTCCCGTTTCTTCTTTTGTTGTTCATATTTGAATTTCCTGGGGAGAATAAACAAAATCGACAAAGAAAAACAGAAGCTTTAGATTTTCCTTAGAAGACAAATAATGTTGGCTAAACTCTTAAACCAAAAGGTGAGGTCACAGTCCTTTTCATAAAGACAGGGCTTTTCCTCGAATTTTGATAACATAATTTGCCACATGTGACAGCTTTAATCAATCTTCAAATGTTAAATTTTCACGTATAACATTAAATCGGCTTAGAAACATCACTATATCATCAGATTATACCATAAACTTAGCGAGCTTAGGTTCTGAAAACTTGATTATCATGACAAGACAAAAAAGTATTCCAAACTCACTAACAAAGAAATATACAGACAAAAAGGAAGAAAGAGGAGTAGGAAAACTAGTGCTGCTTAGATAGGATGATCAAATTATAAGTAAGATATGCATAATCTCAAGTTATCACTGATAAGTGTATAGATAGAGGAGGTTCAGTCAGCACACCAAAACTGTACCAACAGAATGAAGGGAAAAGCACAAATAAATGTCTTCAATTTTCTTTTTATGGAAACAGTATGGCTCACATTTTCACCTACTACTACAAAGATAAGAGTAATGATAGCAAAAACTTTTATCTGGAATTAGCACATAGCAGTATCAGTATAACAGCAAAAAAAGGAAGTTTATCAAACGAGAGGTGGTAATGTAAACATTAAATATAATAAGATAAAATCAACATTTAACATTGTTTCAATAAACAAGTGTGTTGATTATAGTTCACATTGCACGTGTATTGATTTCCAGAATATGAAGACGGAAATCTGAGGTCTATACCTGTAATCCATGATTCTGACCACTGGGGGATCCGCATCAGGGGACAATATGACCTGCATTTAAGCAGCCAAAAGAAAGACATTGCTAATCTTTCCCATAAGAAAACTTGGATTTAAACTATAATAATCTAACTGGATCTTTGAAGAACACGTCAATTTGTTCATGAGCAAAGATGCAAAATTGCAAAGTTAAAAACTTCAATCCCCAATTAATTAGTAAAAAATTACAACCATGAAGAACACATCAATTTGCTCATGGGCAAAGATGGAAAATTGCAAAGTTAAAAACTTCAATCCCCAATTAATTATTAAAAAATTACAACCACGATATTCCAAAGGTATAGAGTGGATTATTAAAATAATAGTGTCTATGCAGATTAATGCATCGTGTGATAGACCAAAGTTGATCTCATGTCCAATGCTCAGTGCCAACCCCGAGGTGCTGACCAAAAAGGAAGAACTGATGGACGTTATATTGAAATTAGTACTTTTGGTATCAAGATTCCACAAGATATGAGTGTTTCATCAGTGGAAAATTCTGACAACCTAATTCGAGTCTGGACTGAAAAATTCCAACTTTCCAAATGGATCTTCTTTCATCATGTGTCAATACTGTCATTGAGTACACATTAAAAGTTGACTAACTTCTCATACATCATTCACAACCATTAAAAATAAAATAATGGATTCTTTTGAAAGCTAATTCCTAAACACTAAATATGCAAACTCATGATCATTATACAATATACTGCTCGTAGTTAGGCATATTTCTCATATATGATCCCAAGATTTTACATCTTTTGCCAAACCCGACACGAAAAGGCATAGGAAGACATATATTCTCCAAGAACAAGTTTCAAACTTGGACTGTTCCACCCATTTTGTTGCAAGAATAAATCTAAAATATAGTACTTCATGGTAAATTCTATCAGCGCAATAAGATAGAGAAGCAACACAAGCAGAAGCTACGTTTGTACTAAATTCTAGCATATCTTCCTATTGGATTTCAGATTAAGAAAAGAAAAAAAGTTGAAGAATTCGACAACTATAATTCATACCAGATCGAGCTCCGCATCCTCAGCCATCCGAATCGCCTCACTTTTAGACACCACCCCAACCTACACCAAGATATAACTCAATAAGCCACAGCTTTAACAAGAACATGCATACAAAAAGGACCTGAAACAGTCCTGAAAAGCATCCCTAACTAAGTTCAAGCCAACTGCAGCCATTCAATTCCAAATACAAACCCTCTCAAAGCCTCTTCATCATAACTACACTGATGAGAACAATGATTCTTACCTCGAACTCAACGCAAAATGCAGAAACAAAGGAGAAAAGAGGACGAAGGAAAACAACTCACCATGTTTTGTTGCTGGTCAATCAAGCGTACAGTAGCCGACCTGCACCAATCCACCACACGACCGTTGAACACCATCATTTCGAACTTCAATCCGATTCACTCCAAATTTAGCAACATGCTCAAGCAAATCATCCAAAGAAGAGAAGCTCGAAGCACCTCACCTGATAGTGGATACGTCGAGCGCCTGATCGTCGTCGGAATCGCTCTGCCGGGACCGCCTCCAATCTCCGGACCCCGAGTACCGCGATCCTCCTCCTCCTCCGCCGCCGCCGCCGTAGCGGCAGGCGACGGAGCGGCCGCAGGGGGCGAGGACGAGAGAGCATCTGGTGGTGAGGCTCCCTGCCTCGGAGAGTCGGACTCCGAAGAGCTTCGATGACTCGAGCGAGGAGAGGGAGAAAGGCGGAGACACCGCCGCCGCCGCCGCCGCCGCCGACGTCGCCTTGGAGCTTGCGAGGATGGGCTTGAAGGCGAAGCCGCCGGTGACAGCAGCCATGGCGTCGTCGCGAGAGAGCTACGATGCGACTGCGAGCAAAAGTTCTCGCTACTGCAATCATCGTCTTCCTTATCAACAACGAACTCCTCCTGGGTCGAATCGGAGCTCCGACCGGACCGGAAAAGGATCCGAGCCCGTTTCTTTATGGGCCTCTATGGGCCCGGCCCGGCCCGCCCAGTTGAAATACCGGCCGAGAGAGGCCCGACGGTCGGACCGGGGAGCGGCGAACCGGTCCGGAAACAAACCGAAAGCTTTCAAAAAAAAGCGCAGAAGGGAAGAGATGTTCTCAAGATCGTCTTCTCCCGCTCTCGCGCTCCATTTGTCGAGAGCGAACATGTCCGGTTCGAGCGAACGGCGACATCAACAGCCGCCGCCAACGGCGGCGACGGCGCAGGACTCCGACGACCGACTGAAGCTCGCCGTCGCCATCTCTCTCCTGCGCTCCAAGTTCCTGAAGAACCGCACATCTCCTCCTCCTCCTCCTGAATCCGACGTTCTACGATGGAAGCGAAAGGTCTCCCTCTCTCTCTCTCTCTATCTTCCTCCTACTTTGCTCGAATCGCCTTCGTCGCATCTTCCTCTCTGACCGGAAGTGATGTCGCCGGCGTCGCTGTTGTTGCCTGTGGCTTTTTAAGGCGAAGGAGCGAAAGCAGGAGCTGCTGAGGCTCAGGGAGGATCTCAAGGAAGCAGAAGGTTCGCGTTATTCCGAATCTCTCTCTCTCTCTCTCTCTCTCTCTCTCTCTCTCTCTCTGCTCCCGATTTCGTCTTTGCTTTTGTATCGGTCGAGTTTCGTGATCCGAGACTCTGTCCGATCGGTCGTTTCGCGCCAGAAGCGTCGCGCGCCGCTGCGTTTCCGCAGGTCGCGTCCTGCAAGTGCTACTTCTTCAACGACTTGGGGAAGCTGAGCCCCGACCGGCGGCCCGGAGACGGCTCCGATCACCGATTCTGCGATGTTCTTCGCCGGAGATTTCTCAGGCAAGGTTCGCCTTCGCTGTTATCCTAATCGTCGTGACGTGACTCCGGTTCGAGTTTCGATGATCCCAAGGACTTGTTCGCTTCTCTTACTCTGCAGTGCGATACCGGGAAAGTAAGAGGAAAAGAGATGATCAGCATCAGCGCCGGCATCTATCAGGTGCTTCTTTTAGTTGATCATTATAATTCCGGCATGCTCAGAGTCGAAACGAACCGTATTAGTCTCGTCTATTGGTGTTGCATTTCCTACATCTATGTCTATCCATGTACATTTTCACCAGTACCTTAATTTTGTCACTGCTTAGGAGGAAATAGTGAATTTCGAATCGGACAGTTCATATTGTACCGTGATTTGGAATAGAATGCCCTTTCCCATTTACATTACTTGTCGAACTTCCGGTGTTGCTCCCCTCACTCGTTTCTATAACGTTAAGAACCGAAACTGGACTTCTTGAGGTATTACATCCTCACTGTTTATTTTTAACTAAAGTTGAATGACTTGCACTATACAGCTTTATATGGTAGCTTTCCGCTAATGGCTTCTGGTACCGGTAGTGAATGGGCGAGAGTAACGATGGAGGATTTAACGCACTTGTTGGTTTTATGTACTCATCGGCTATGTCTCCGTCTTGCTTAATTTGGGATCCTTATGACTGAGAAAGACCCTTAGAATGAATTGGGGATTTGGACTTGAGAGACTGGTGGAATGATTTAACTTTGAAAAGTTCAAGATGTTCTCCTCTTCCTTCCCTTAGCAGAAATGATCTCAATATTTCTTTCACAAAGCCAGTACCCTCCCCTCAAAGGACTGCCAGACATTCCTTCGAAGTTGGCTTTTCACTGTATTAACATATAATTCTTGTTAACCCGTGAATTCAGCAGTATGAATATGCTATCTATGGCTATATGTGATTTTCTGGAGTCCTCGTACACTTCGATTTCAGACGTAACAACCATAGATGAAGTGGAGCATCTTTGTGCTGCTGCTGATTTTCTCGTGGAGCTACTTGATGCTGTTTCATCTGTGAGATTTCTCTCTCTTCTGCTCTCTGTGATTTCATACTATATATCATAAATTAATCGTATAAGGATTGTTTTCTCGTAGGTTGAGGAAGATAATTTTGCTAACTGGTCACATCAAGCTGTAGACTTCATACTAGGTACTGAACACTTGCATGTTTTGTTTCTGAATTTCTCTAAGTTGCATCCACCTTCACTTCTCAATTTTATTATCCACAATATTCCCTTATACTGTGTTGCTGATTCATCGTAAACACTCAGTCCTGAAGTCAAATAATGTATCAAAAGTAAAAGAGAGATCGGTTATCTTCCGTGAACCTATATTTATTAGTCTGCACATGGTGGTCTATCTATTGGGAAGTCTGCTGCGAGGATGAATGTTATTTACTGCACCTGTGTCATTACTACAAGTAGAGAGATGTGCACATTGTACAAGTAATTTTCCAGCGGCAGTAATTTGGAGGTGTAAATCATTTTTCAGATATAAAATTTTTTAGAGTGAACTATTAATGGTTTTCAGCAAGGTGGTTAAATGTGTGGTTAAATCTATATGGCCCTAGAATTGCAGCAAGGACTTTCAGTAAGTTTGAGGTCAAATTCAATGATTCGATGTTAATTTGTCCAGATTTCTTGTGAATAGAAATTTATGAAGATGATTGTCTATGCAATTTGGCATTCATGCCAAATGCCTTTTTTGGCCCTCTGGTTAATTTTCTAACAATGCTCTCTCCTGAAGCTTCATTGAAGAATCTATTATCAGTGAAAGAGAACATGGAAAGCATTGAAGGTATTGTCAACAGTTTGATATTGCGTTTGGTTAGAAGGATGACCTCTCTTTCAGGAAGAGATGGTGGTAAGTCTTTCTGATTCCAATCCTTCTCCTCTTGATTTTATGACACCCTAAACTGTCTGACAATATATAATGATGGATGAGTGACTTATATGTACTGAAATTGTTCACTTTCCGCAGGTACAGTTACAGTCCATCATTGGTGTTTCCATTTTGTTGTCAGTGACTCATAATACTTATTTCTTTGCTGCATCCTTTTATTTTAGGGCGGGATGACATTGGCAATGATGTGCAGTTCTATGTTCAGCATTTGATTCGGAAACTAGGAAAGGCGGTCTACCTAGGACAAAGAGCATCAGTCGCAGTTTCTCAAAAGATTCCCGTTGTGGCAGAAAGTATACTTTTTTCAGATCCTTTTGATGATAAATTTCCAGACATGCATCAGTATATGTTCATCTTGTAAGTAAATCAACCATGACTTCTCCTGTAGCAAACCATATGTCATTACCTGGATTTCTGAACTTTTTTTTTTAACCATATGGACTTACGTAACACAAGTTCACATCAGAAGATCGGTGAAATGGGATCTGTTGCCTGCATCCTACTTGGCATAAATATAGTGGATAATTGCGTCTGGGCATGTGGTCTTTCCTGAATTTCATAGGCTAAACATGATGCTATCTAGAGCTAAGATCATGCTTTATTTTTGGTGGCCTCATAAAGAGAATGCTTCAACTGACGAGTCCTAGATATTGTTGGTTTCAGCAAGTTTATAAATCAATTGCTGACTCTTGTGCATGCAGAATTCAACTTCTCGAATTCTTGGTATCCGATTACTTGCTGACATGGTCAAGGGATGAAAATTTTGACCAATGTAAGTGTACTTTATTTCTTGCATGCATCTTGTACTGCTGTTTACTTCACTTTAGCAAGGCAAGACTAAAGCCATAATCTTTGATTATTCTGCACAACAAATATCATAAGCATAATAAGCTCTATGATATAGTAAGCGTTAAGCGTTATTCACGCAGTGTTGTTTGAAGAGTGGTTGACATCAATTATCCACGCCCGGAAGGCGCTGGGAGTTTTGGAAAGCAGCAATGGTCTCTACATGCTCTACATGGATCGGGTGGTCGGAGAATTGGCTAGACAATTGGGTCAGATTTCGTCAAACCACAAGCTGAATCCAGATGTTCTCAGCAACCTATTTCTCTGACTGCATCTTGCATCATACTGTTGTCACCATCAACGCGTGTGCTTTGCTCATATTATACTTCTCTGTTGTCGACGACTGATGTGGAGCTTTCATCGATCAAGGTAAGCATCGAACCGCCGGTCACTCGACTACTGTTAACGTGTGCACGGTTAATTAGTCTCAACTTAACCAATCACGATTTGTGATAGCACTGCTCTTCCCCCAACATAAAAGCTGTCTGCTTTTTCTTTTTAATATATATACACGCGCGCGCATAAAAGTCCAAAGTATTCTATCATTAGATTTCTCACATATGTGTGCATTCGAAGATGGAATACGCCAAACACTCTTATCATGAAGCAAAAATGTTGTTCGGTTTCAAATCGATGAGAATATCTTTTGTTAGAATGCTCTATCAAGTGGAGACTTACATGGTACCGCATATCTAAAGAAGTTTTGGCATTTGCACGCATATTTAGAAAATCAAGAAAATTATCAATATTATGTCGGTACATCGCATGGAAATTCCACGTATCACAGGCCGAACATTCGGTTGTACCCTACAAACAATTTTCTTTGGGCTGCCGAATGGATTGAACATTCGTAATTATATAATTAATTAACTACTCAAATGGTGTAACTTTTAGTTACGCATTGCATGTACATTATTTCTTTTCGAAAGTAAAGAAAATACTAAAAAAAACCTTAAATTATGTTCATTGCAGCGTCAGTACCCTCAACTTTTGTTTTGTGTTACTAAAACTCCAAACTTGCCGTTTACTATAAAAAAAAAAACCCTAAACTTAACCTACCGTGACACGTATATTCCAATTTCTTTTTTTGCCACCAATAATTGAAACTTTGAACTGGTCTGATGTGACAGAAAAATTCGGGTATTGGCGTCGCGGTGCGCATAGCGTATCGTCGCTAATAGCCTAGAGCCGAGTATGAACCTAGACCCTAGTATAAACTATAGGTCTCACTTTCGTCTTACATCCGTCTCTATTAAACTCGGCCATCCCAATTCAGTTTAGTGCGCGCATTTAGGTTAAACTTTCTCGAGAGGAAGCGAGGACCGTTTTTCGCATGGACACAATATCACCTCTCTATCACATAGAGAGAGATATCCTCGTGTTTCCTAGAATAGTCACGCGGTCCAAACTGATATCAAATCGTATCCCCCACTTTCTTTCTTCTTGATGGACCCCTTCGTCTCTATATACGTACGTGCAAACATCGCCATCGCCCGTACCTGACCCCACCTTTCACACGATCCGATCCACCAAGCACCGTCTTTCTTTCGCTACTTCTATGGCGGGGATCATCAAGTCGGCGGTCGCCCTTTCGTTCGTGATCCTTCTGTTGCTGTCCCGATCTCCCGAGGGCTCGGCCAGCGCTCGCGGGAGCGCCGAGTCCGCGGATAAAACCGTTGTTGGCCCGCGGAAACAGCGACCGTCGAGCAAAGACGTCTCGTCCGCCTTCCGAATGAGGAAGATTGGCGTCCACGTGAAGAAGGGCGGCGGCGGAGGCGGCGGTCATGCGGGCGGTGGGGGTCGTGCGGGTGGCGGGGGTCGCACGGGCGGCAGTGGCTATGGAGGTCGTGTCTGGCCAGGGGGTGGAGCTAAGCCCAACGGCGGGACTCACAGGTCCTCGGCCGTCGGATCTCGCCTGTCACCGTCGCTCGCCTCCGCCGTTTGTTCCTCTCTTCTCCTCGGTCTACTGTTTGCTTCAGCTCTACTTTGAATGTCATGACAATAGGAGTTGGGCAGTTAGTTGTTGGACTTCTTTTGTGGTTTCAGTAGGGTTTTTTCTTGATTTTGTCCCCCACGATCCGTCGTTAATGTCGCGCGTAATCTGTCCCAACAGGACAAAGCATTGGCTTGGCCAACTCTCTTGTAATGCTTCGAATACTGCTGCTGAGAATAGAACAAGCCTTCTTTGGCAGGAGTTGATTTCAATCTCTCAAAGCAAATTTCTGATCCATCATGGATTGTTTTTGGGGGAGAGACTTAGTGGCATCTAGGGTTTCTCTGACTTCATTCCTATATCGGGTTATATCAAATGCTATATCACATGATATATCGATACGGTATTACGCACCTCTACGAATTTCTTCGTTTTGAATGTATGTTACACGATCACCGTAATCGAGAAACGTGATTGTTGATCGGCGGTGTTATTGCTACGACAATATATCCTGTCGTGCCCGCCCGCATAACGATTTCGTCTTCGGGCACTGAACGATTCTTGTACTTTTGTTTCTACCGCCATCGTGCTATGATGAGCCTATTTGTTCTCCTCTTCAACTATTATAATTTTTTATACATTATGTAAGTGTATACATTAATGTACGGAGAGAGATAATACCTTGCATACTCATTGAATTCTACCGGGCATTTAATGACGGCAAAAATGATAGACGATGTCGTCTAAGAGATTTGTTAGACTTGTTCCTCTCGTTCTTCATGTATTGGCCGGATTGATATAGATATATAAGTGACTGATAAACATCTCGACTTTTGAATTCATTAAAGTAATCACGTAGACTCTGAAAGATTCTCTCGCTTATCGATGGATTCATAAATTAGGGTCGAGATCGGGATCTCCATCAGAGCAAAAATCTAGTTACTATGTATCTTCGAGATAAGATTTTCCATACCTCATCGGTCTTGGGTTTTCTTGACGATAGCATGGGATATTTAAGAGGAAGATTAATGAAGATTCAAAACGAGTATATACTTTTTCCAATCCACGGGCCCTTTCCTACCAGGTGACAACAGCTGTCTTGTCATCTTTTGGAGGAAGATTTTGGTAAAAGCCTAGTTTGAACAGCTGTGGCAAAAGGCTATAATCCTTCATGAGAAGTGCCATAAGTAGTAAGTTCTTGTGGAAGGAGTTCCTCTCAGCACAGCTCTCTCCTGCATCTACTTTGCCCAAAAATCAAACAGAATTTGGACCACCGAATCCGATGGTCCCACGTGAATTAAGACCATCGTTTTCGACGATCCAGATTCAATTTAGTACGTACATTATGTTCGTTTTAATAAGGAGAAATGGCGAGAGGTTATCGATTTCAAAAATTGGTCGCACGATCCAACTTAGGGATGGCCCATCTCGGCCCCGGGGGAATTCGCCCCGCCCCCTACCTTCGTCTACATGAAAATTTATTCACGTGGTCGAATTATTATATGATTTAATTACGGAAAAACTATAATTTCAAATAGGTAATTGTGATATCGTTATTAACGTGGATATCCCGTGTTCTAATATTTAATCATTAATTATCATCGATATATTTAACGACGATAAATATATAATACTCTAGGTATGAACATATTGTATGTAATCATCATCCACACAAAAATTAACTTCATACAAAAAATAAATATATAAATGGGGCAGGCCCGGGCTAATTCGCGTCCCGCTCGCCGCGAATTTTCCCCTTTTAAGATCTTTCCCGCGGCGAAAGAACCGGCCCGTTCGGGCCGGCGACACGCTCCGGTGCCCCGAACCCGGGTCCAACCGAATTTGATCGTATCCGAATGTCACCAACCTCTTCTTTTTCCATCGTTACCCCCTCCCTGGCCTTCATATGTACGTGGCATTCATCATACTCGACCGAAAGAAGAAGAAGAAGAAGAAGAAGAAGAATCACACGGCCTTTCACTGCGTGAAACTCCACGGCGATCCGATCAACACCAAAAAAACTCGGGCGATCTCGATGGCTGCGATCAGATTCGCGCTCGCCATTTCCTTCGTGATCCTCACGTTGCTGTCTCGATCTGCCGGGAGCCTGGCGGATCAAGCCATTAGCCACCGACAGCGACGGCAGCAGCCGTCGAGCCACGACGTCTCCTCCTCCGTCCGAGCGAGAAGGATCGGCACCCGTGTGGTGAAGAAGCTGAGTGGTGGCGGGGGTGTTGGCGGTGGGGGTGGCCGTTCAGGTGGCGGTGGCGGTAGTGGTGGTGGTGGGTTTGGGGGCGGTAGCGGCGGCGGCGGTCGCGGGGGTGGCGGTGGCGGGTGCGGCGGCGGTCCCATTGGACGGACACCAGGGAGTGTAGTGAGGCCTGTTCCCACCGGGACTGATGGACCGTCAGCCGTCAGTTCTGGCCCGTCGACGCTCGTCGGCTCCGTCGTGAGTTGCTCTTCAACCCTAATCTGAATGTAGCCACCGGAAAATCAGGAATTTTGGCCGTCGTTGGTGTTTCCGGTGATAGCATAGTCATATGGTAGCCGTTCGACCATGACAGTGCGTCCAGAAAAAAAGAAAATTTGCTTGATAATTATAGAAATGCTTATGCTGAAAATTTTATCTTATTTTTTTTGTTTCTGATGAAATTTAGTGCTTGCATTTACAACAGTCGAAAGACTTCGAAAAATGGATGGTCGGGCATCCGACTCCAACCCCGAATTACTCATATTTAAGTGATGGGTCATGACGGTGAGTTGCTGTATCAGTTTCCCTTTAGTAAGCTTGCTAATCGTGGCCATGCACATGAATTATCGAAAAAGAGAAAAATAGCATATGGAGCTACGCACCTCCACGGATTGCACACTCTTGTCACAAGAAAGAAAAAAACAAAACGAACACGAGATTCGGATAACCGAGGATTAACTTACCGCGCCGCATCCATACATCGAACGAATTCGCTCGCTTTTCTTCTCTTAACGGTTTAAACTATACGGCGATTACCCATAATTATTAGGTTAGGGATGTAGATACACCGTCAAAGCATTATCTAATGATCATTGATTAGCTGGATAGACACCGCAATGCTTCGAAGGCAATCTAAAACTCCCACGGCAAGTTCTTCTCCAAAGCCCCTCCCGCCTCTATGTACGGACCATAAAGAATCACACTCCATGTTTATTTGAAAAAAGAAAAAAAACATCGTACCGCCGGTTGACAGGTAGTTTTTAATCGCGTCAGACCTGCATGATCAACGATTCAGACGATCTCGATCCAATCTGATGTTATCTAAAGACCGTCAAGTGTTACTCTTTTCTTTGACCTTGTATTCATAGCTCGCAACTTGCGCACTTTTCGTGGCGGACATCGAGTCACCATTGTCTTATGGCGCTACCGCTATGTCAATCTCTCGAGACCCTTGGGGTCGCGAAAGTGCAATTAAGTTAGCCAACAATGCCCGCGAATGAGAGAGAGGAGGAGAAGGAGAAGTCGGATCATCCATCACCGGACGGCGACATCGTTTTGTGCTCCTTCCACATGACACAAGTTATGCGACAACAGTGTCGACCCTGTGGTTGAACGAGTCCCCGTAACTAAACCAATACCTTTATCTGTGAAGCCAAACCTTGCGGTCAAAATGTCGCGTCGTGTAACCGCCGACATGAAATATCTTCTCGACACGTTGTGGTGGAACATCAATTGACTTCGCTAATATAAGTGGAATCGGGATATCACAAGTTTAGGACATCCGTAAGAATTATATTGGCAAATTGTAAAAAAATTCACGACTGAAGTGATAAAATTAAAAAGTATATGACTGAATTATAATAAGTTTATGACATTTTTGGATAATGTTTTAAAATTTTGATATATCTAAAATTTCTATAACTACGAAGAGGAGGGGAAATTTAAAATCGCGAGAATCTTGGCAGGGATATCGTTGGAAATTGATGAGTTATCCAGTAGGCAAATAGGAAAATCAATTTTTGGCACGAAAGGACTTGATTCGAATGGATATTGATAAAATAAAAAAAGAGTTAATACATCGAAAAACTTCAAACTGATATATTTGTGATAAATTTACCTCATATTATTTTTTTGACTACAAAAAACTCCGAATTAGTACATCTGCGATAAATTTACCATTTGTTAATTTATGTTAAATTTTACGGTCAAATTGTTGAGTTGGATGACACCGGACAGTTGATGGGTATACCAGTTTGGGGTTTTACCCTCCGTTTGTCATAAGTGTACCAATTTGTGATTTTTTTTTGTGGTATTCATATAATTTAAAGGAAACTAACGGAGAGTAAATTTGTCACAAATATATCAATTTGGGGTTTTTGCTCGTCAAAAAATTAATTTGGAGTGAATTTGACACAAGTGTACCAGTTTGAGGTTTTTAGTAGTCAAAAAAATTAGTTTGGGGTAAATTTATCACGGATGTACCAGTTTGGGATTTTTGGTTGTATTAACTCTATAAAAAAAAATATAACATATCTAACATGAGGTTAAAACTAACTTAAAGTTTTTCTAACGTATAAAAACGATCATAAACATGTGAATAACTAATGAAAATAAAATTAGTTTATAACTAACGCACAAAGTAGCATATGAAAAGCAGGCGAAAGATGCAAATTTTAGTGAAAACCATGTATATGTATCATATATATATATGTACCCGCCGCCGCCGGCCGCCGCTGCCGCCGCCTGCCGCTGCCGCCGCCCGCGGTCGCCCGCCACCGCCGCCCGCCGCGGTCGCCGGCTACCGCCGCGTCGCCGCCGCCGCCGCCGCCGCCGCCCCCGCCGCGCCGCGGTCGCCGGCGAAAAATATTTTCCGAAACTTTTTCATATTGGTCGCGAACACCGGAAAATTATGTTCCGGGAAAACAGTTTCCAGGAAAATGACTTCCGGGAAAATATTTTCCAAAAGGGGAATATTTTCCGCCAAACAAACGGCGCCTTAGTGAAAACCATGTATATGTATCATATACATATATATATATATATATATATATATATATATATATATGTACCCCGCATAAATGTACCAAGTATTTCACCATTAGACGTTCTTAGTTCGATTTCTCGCAATGTGGGTGGTCGAAAAAGAAGTATGCCAAAGTTGCCAACAATGTCGGTCGGGTTCGAATCGATGAGAACATCTTTTGTGAAATTGCTATGTCAAGCGGAACGCTAGTATGCTACCCCGACATACCTAAAGATCGATGTTTTTTTTGCATTGATAAGAGGTATTATGTCGACATATCATGTTGGATTCGACGGACCCCGAGCCGAACATTTGGTCGTACCCGCAAGAATTTTCTTCGGGGACTAAACGATAGCGATATTTTTCGTTAACTAACTTTTATTTACGCGTCACATTAATTTCATTAGCTAGTGACTTTTCGAAAGCAATACAACCCATATTGGGCGGTCATAGCCGATGGGAATTTCGGGAGAAACTGTCCGATCAATCCTAAATTTATAGTACTCGTACCAATTCAATCCTAAATTTTTTTTAATTTCGTCAATTCAGTTCTAAACTTTCACGTGAAATTCCTATATTGTCCTCTCGACCAATTTTCGTCGGGAATCGCTGACGTGGCGCGGCGACACGTAAGGCTGCGGAGATGACCGGACCGCCACGTCAGCTGTTTCCGGCAAAAATTAATCGGAAGGACAACATCGGAATTCCGCGTGAAAATTTATGACTAAATTGATAAAATCAAAAAGTTTAGAACCGAATTAATATCTACACGATATGTTGAGAACCGATCGGGTAACTTTTCCGGCATTTCTTCGACATTGCGTGTGGTGTAGCCAATGTTGAATAAAACGACTATTACGACAGAGACATGTAACTTTTCCATCTTTTTCCATTTTGGTCTCTCCGTTGTGTTGCCATGATGCTATAACGAGCCTATCTCACTTCTTTCCGATGCGGTCCGTCCCGTGCTAAATCGAATCCGGACCGTCGGAAACGATACCGGAATCGAGCCCCGTATATCCGTCAGGTCTGCGCGGCACTTTCTCGAGAAGAAAGGACTATATTTTCTCGTCCGCGCGCTTACTGAGTTCCAATCGAATTTGTCCATTTTCGACGTGCGGGCACGAATCCGTTCGCGACAACGAAACCTGGTTTTACCGCGCCGTTTCGACGACCCCGATGTTCTAGAAGATGTTGTACAAGAGGTCTGTTCTTGATAATGTACTTACTATTCTTTATAAGATCAGTTCTTGTTTCCAAAAGTAGTAATGCGGTCCAACTGAAATCAATTGCACCGGAGAATCGCCAACTGCTTCTTCTTCTTCTTCTTCTTCATCTAACATTGGCCTTTAAATATACGTGCAACATCACCATCGAAAGACAAAGGATCTCCAAACCTTTTCCCTTACGCGAAAATCGCCTTCCCGCGTGATCCGATCGAGGAGTCCGATCTCCGCGATCTCGATGGCGGGGATCAAGCTTGCGCTCGCCCTCTCCTTCGTCATCCTCCTGTTGCTGTCTCCATCTCCCGAGAGCTCGGCTAGCGCTCGCGGAAGCGCCGAGCCTGCGGATAAGACCATCAGCAGGGAAACGAGAGAGATTAACGTCCACGTGAAGAAGGGCGGAGGCGGCGGCGGCGGTGGCCGAGGCGGCGGTGGCGGTGGTGGCGGTGGCCGCGGCGGCGGTTACATAGGCGGCGGTATGATCTATCCGGTACATGTGGGTGGACATAAGACCAGCAACGGGACCCGAAGGTCCTCGGCCGTCGGACCTCGCCCGTCGCTGCTCGCCACCGCCGCTGCTTGTTCCTCTCTTTGCCTCGGCCTATTGTCTGCTTCAACTCTGGTTTGAATGTCCGGAAACACGGCTCTGGAAACACAGAAAAAAGAGAAGACAGCAACCTGCAAATAGGAATTAGGAAGTTGCTGGACCTTCTTCTGTGCACTTATGTTAAAAAGTTTGTTGCTGTAAAATTTCGAAGATTAACGCCCTTTCATATATTAGTTCGCATTTATTTGGTGGCGAGCAATGTAGCTAAATAAGTCGTATCGACAAAAGAAAAATGAACGATCGAAGGATCTGTTTTGCTTCAAAAATTATTTTGTAAAGACAGTTTTCGAACTTTTCGGAGTTTGGATGACGAAAAATCACTTAATCGACGGAAAGCGTCTTTCGCTCGCAGATGGAAACGATAAGTTTAGATCGGGGGGAAACGAGTTAATCATTTTCTTGGTTGATAATGTCGACAAAAGAAAAATGAACAAAGGATCAGCTTTGTTTTTCAAAAGTTGTTTTGGAAATATAGCTGTCGGACTTTGCAGAGTTTGGATGACGAAAAGCCACTCGATTGACAAAAAGAGTCTTTTCACATTCGGAAATGACTTAATCATTTTCTTTATTCCTCATCAATAGTATGCTGAGGCGCCTTTGTATAACCAACAGAAAAAGACGACTTGCTAATAGAACTATGAACTGCATTATT